CTCTTCAAGACGCAGAACAAAGGTTGGGGCATCCGTTGCCTGGACGACATCGCCAAGGGCTCCTTCGTCTGCATCTACGCCGGTAAGGCTGCGGTTCCACAGGGGAAGCGCTCAAGCTGGGCAGGCCGAGGGGAAGCGGGAAGGCGGCTCGGCAGCTGTGCCCCTCCTCGGACCCAGGTGGGCTATGGCCCACCTGTCCTATTTATTGGCAAGGACTCCTGAGTCCATCCAAGGCTCCCAACGCAGGCCAGCCCCATCGTGACGGGGCCCTTAATGCCCAAATCGCGGCTAATCGAGCCGTGTTGAGCGTCGGCCACAACTTCGCGACTTCAGGAGGGGCACAGAGTCCCGTCCCGTCCCCCCTCGGATATTTCCTACCTGGGAACCCCTGGAATTTTCTCCCGAGGGCAGATTTCCCAGACCGCTCTGCATTGGGCCCAGCAGCTGATCTCGGGGAGGTCGAACCCAAAGTTCTTCCCAGACCAGCCCATGGATTCTGGTGTCCTGAGTGGACAATTCAGCTCCTGGGCTCCCCGTTTATCGGTTTTTTTTTTCAGCGCTGTTGTAACTTCAAGCGGTCACTAAGCAGGAGTTTGTAAGTCGGGGGCTCCCTGTAAAACAGGGGTGGGGAACTGTGGCCCTTTGATGAGTCGTGGACTTCAACTCCCAGAATCCCTCAGCCGGCCTTGTTGTCAGCCTCCCAAAGATTATCCATTCCAGCCAGTAACTCCAAGGCAAACATAATCTCAGGGTACTTTTATTAGAATAGAAACTTGGCACCTCTGTGGAATTGCTAAACTGAAGTTTTCCCCAGACTTCCCACAATGACCCAACCTACAACCCCCCCCCTCCCCCCCCCCCCCCCCCACACCCCATGTGAACCAACCCCCCCTCAGCTCCAATTCTCTCTCTGCCATTCACATTGGCCTTGAATTACTGAAGAATTTATTTTGTCTACTAAAAGCTACTCCAAGAGTATCGGCCCCCCTCCACTTCTCCGCAGCCACGGGGAAGCTTTTCATAACGATTCCAAAGCTGACACAGGTCCGACTTTGTGGACTGCAAACTCCCAGAATGCCGGAGGGAGTTGAAGTCCAGCCGTCCTTAAAAGGGCCGTAGTTCCCCCACCTCTGCTGTCAACCCAGTGGGATCTCTCTCTGGGAAGGACAAGTTCCTAGTCCTCACGGCTGGCAAATCCAGGGAGAATGGGCTTCCGAGCCCCCCTTTTTCTCCGGCAGGGAAGATCCTGACGGACGACTTTGCGGACAAGGAGGGCCTGGAGATGGGCGACGAGTATTTCGCCAACCTGGACCACATCGAGAGCGTGGAGAACTCCAAGGAGGGCTACGAGAGCGAGGCCAAGTGCTCCTCCGACAGCAGCGGCGTCAACCTGAGGGACAACGAGGACGACAACTCTGGCACGGAAGAAGCCGAGGAGTCCAACGAGGAGAGCTCGGACGACAACTTCTGCAAAGACGAGGATTTCAGCACCAGCTCGGTTTGGCGCAGCTACGCCACCCGCCGGCAGACCCGCGGCCAGCGCGAGAATGGCCTGTCGGAGACCGCCTCCAAGGACTCTGGGCCGGCCCGGCTGGCCGGCCACGAGGAGGCCGCCCCTTCCTGCAAGCCCCCCGTCTCGGAGGAGACCTCCAAGAACAAGGTGGCCTCCTGGCTCAGCTCCAACACCGTGGCCGATGGATACCAGGACAGCGACAGCCGCTCGTCCTTCCGGATGCAGGAGGCGGCGGCCGAGGGGAAGCCCCCCGTGAAAGGGGAGCCCCCCGTGAAGGGGGAGCCCGGAGAGGGTGAGAAGAGCGCGACCCCCGGACTCCTGCCGGCCAAGGAGGAGCCTGGCCTGGAGGGGGAGATGAAGGTGGTGAAGAAGAAAGAGGTGCGGGGGGGGGGGGCCTCTGCGCAGAAGAACGGCAGGAGGGGGGTGGGGAAGCCTGGAGCACAACCCCCCCCCTCCCCACTCCACCGAAGCAGGCTGTCAAAAGTCCTGGGGCGAGGACAGGGAGGGGGAAACACCCACCTGCCCAGGGGGGTTTGGGGAGAGAGATTAAATTTCGGCAGCGAGTGATAGAAGCCGAGCGACGATTGTGCAGAACCGTCTGGAGCAGAAAAGCTGCCCGGAATCACCTTGTTGGAGGAATGGGTGGGAGGAGGAAGGGAAGGGAAGGAAGGAAAAAGAGAAAGAAAAGAGAGAGAGAGAGGAAAGAAAAGGAAGGAAAAAGGAGAAGGAAGGAGGGAGGGAAGAAGGAGAAAGGAAAAGAAAGAATTCTCTCTTTTTTTTCCCCCGCAGGAACCGGACGATCCGGGCAAACCCACGTAAGACCTTCCGGGCGTTTCCTGCCCCCCTTCGGTGGGGCTCAGACCTACTTTAGGCCCCAGGAGAAAAGGCCCTTCCTGCCCTTAAGGTCTCTCTTCCCACAACAGGGAAAGAAAGACCCTGTTTATTGTCTTCCAGAGTCCTCGCAAGCAGAACAGTAGTTCCTCAAGGGAGGAAAAAATGGGCCTGTGCTGCCAGGGAGGGGTGGTTTCCTGGAAGCCCCTCCCTCTAAATCTATTTCTCCTTCCAAATGCTGCCCCTTGGGGGGGGGTCTCTCAAACCTTAATTGCCCCCCCAAAAATAACCACCCTTCTGTAATTTGGGGAAAGGGCTGCAGAAAACGCCTCTCCCCCCTCCCTTGCAGGGAAGGGGCCCCAAAGCGCTTGGGGGCTCCCCCCGGCTTCCCTCTGCCCCCCCCCCCTTCCTCAGGCCCAGCCACACCACCAGAGTCTACGGCTACAACCCCAACCCCCCCATCCCCGAAGGGGCTCGGCGGCCCCCCAGCAAGACCACCTCCCATCAGAGCCGGAGGCACTCCGAAGGCCAGAACCCAGACGTAAGTCGGGGGTGGTCTCCTCTTGTGTTTTCAGGGTCGGAAGGAAAGGAAAACGGGGGGCGGGGGGGGGGGATTTTCGGTCGAGGGTTCAAAGGCGGGTCTGGAACCGAACTCGGGACAAGGTCTCTCTCCCCACCCCCTGGGAAGAGTCTCTTTTCCTCTGCAGCAGGACGTCCTGATGCTCTCCAGCAGCACCGACAGCGACGGAGACAACATCCGGCCGGCTTCGGGCCCCGTCCAGGTCAACCACACCAACGACAGCGACGACATCCAGACCATCTCGTCCGGGTCGGAGGAAGACATGGCCGGCAACCAGAAGAAGAATGTCCCTTCCAGGATGGGTGAGGGGGAAGGCCGGCCCCGGGATAGACTGCTCCTGCATCGGGAAGGTTCCCTTGGGGGCTAGGAGGCGCCACAGCTAAGTCCTCGGCTTGCAACGGCCGCAAATCGGGCCCCGCGTTGGCACCGCCGAGGGCGGGACGTTCGCGGGGGGGCTTTCGACGGCCCTTTTTTCTCGCCGCCGTGGTGGCGGTTCAGCGAACCCTCACCGTTGGTTGAGTTAGCCCCACGCCAGGCAAGTGGATCCAAAACGTCCTCTGTCGGCTTCCTTTGGCAGAAGGTCGCAAAAGGGGAACCGCCCGTCATAAATGTGAGACCGTTTGCCGAGTGTCCCAGTTTTGATCCCGTGAAGCCCGGGACGTTGCAGCCGGCCTTACGTACAAGGCCGTCCCCGAGCTGTTTCGCTCGTGTGACCATGAGGAGGATGCTGCAAACGGTCATAAGGGTGAAAACCGGCCCTTAAGTCACTCTTTCCCCCCCCCCCCCCCAGGGCCGTTGTAACTTCCAACAGTCACTAAACGAATTCTCAAGGAATGCCTATATTCTATATTGGCTACTGCTGGATGCTGACTTCCCCTCTGGTTTGGAACGTGGAATGACAGAGTTGGAAAGGATTTGGAGGTCATCCAGCCCAACCCCAACCCCCACTGGGGCAGGAGTGTTTTTCACGGAGCCGCCCTTTTCTCTTGCAGGCGCGACAAAGAGGCAGGTGGCCGTGAAATCCACCCGGGGTTTCGCCTTGAAATCCACGCACGGCATCGCCATCAAGTCAACCAACCTGGCTTCGGGGGAGACCGCAGCTATGCGTCGGAACACGCGGCAGTTTTACGACGGGGAAGAGTCCTGCTATATCATCGACGCTAAGCTGGAGGGGAACCTGGGACGCTACCTCAATGTAAGAGCCCCCCCCCCGGGAGATCTGGGGGTTCCCCCTCCCTGGGATGGGCCTGGATTGGCTCCCTTCCCCTTCCTGCATCCCTCCTGGTCCGTCCCTGGGAGATTGTCCCCTCTTCACGCGGGGCTGGGCCTTTTTCCTCTGCTTCCCAGCAAAGCCTCTATGGCAGAGGTCTCCAAACCTGCTGAAGTCCACAAGTCTTAAGGTTGCCAAGTTTGGGGACCCCCGTTCTGTGGAGATTCTGAGTCATCCATGGTCCTGCTTGTCCCAAAATTGCTTTTTTCCCAAGAGGCAACTGCACTTCCTGGGTTTTTTTTTCTTTTTCCTTGAAGACATTTCGCTTCTCATCCGAGAAGCTTCTTCAGGTTCTGACTGAATAGTGGAGTCAGAACCTGAGGAAGCTTCTCGGATGAGAAGCGAAACGTCTTCAAGGAAAAAAAACAAAAAACAGAAAGTCCAGTTGCCTCTTTTGGGGGGGGGGGAGCAGCTTTGGGATTCCCAGCAAAGATGTTGACGTTGGGCCTTCATCTCCCCTTCCCCAGCATAGCTGCAGCCCCAACCTCTTCGTCCAGAACGTCTTCGTGGACACGCATGACCTCCGCTTTCCCTGGGTGGCCTTCTTCGCCAGCAAGTAAGTCCCCCCCCCCCAAAAAAAGTTGGGGTTCCCCTCCTTTCCCGACGGGGTGGGAGAGGCTCATCCAAAGGGACGCTTCTCAAGGGAATCTCCCCAAAGTCTTTAAAAAATCAGCACTTCTCAGAAAAATCAGTTTCTGTGCGCAATTTCTACACCGCGTTTGCAAATCCCCTGCCAGCTTTTGAAGGTTGATTTTAGAAATAAAAAAGGCAGAGCAGGGAGGGAAAAAAGAACGAAGCATCCAATTCTGGCATGAAATGTGCTGGCTTGAACAAGTCCTGCATGCAGTTTTTTGGTCACCACACTATTAAAAAAAAAGATGTTGAGACTCTAGAAAAAGTGCAGAGAAGAGCAACCAGGATGATGAGGGGACTGGAGACTAAAACCATACAATGAACGGTTGCAGGAACTGGGCCTGGCTAGTCTAGGGAAGAGAAGGATCAGGGGAGACAGGAGAGCATCTTCCAGTATTTGAGGGGCTGCCCCAGAGAGGAGGAAGGGGGTTCAAGCTATTCTCCAAAGAGGAAGGAAGGAAGGAAGGGAAGGAGGGAGGGAGGGAGGGAGGGAGGAAGGAAGGAAAAGGAAGGAAGGAAGGAAGGAAGGAAGGAAGGAAGGAAGGAAGGAAGGAAGGAAGGAAGGAAGGAAGACATCTGAGCAAACCATGGATGGACCGAAGACATGACTAGTTTAAGGGAAAGAAGGATGGGGTGACATGATAGCATCTTCCAATATCTCAGGGCTTCCCACAAAGAAGAGATGTAAAAAAAGATGTTGAGACTCTGGAAAGAGTGCAGAGAAGAGCAACAAAGAAGATTTAGGGACTGGAGGCTAAAACATACGATGGAACGGTTGCAGGAAATGGGCCTGGCTAGTCTGGGGAAGAGAAGGACCAGGGGAGACAGGAGAGCATCTTCCAATATCTGAGTGCGGGGGGGTTGGACTAGATGACCTACAAGGTCCCTTCCAACTCTTGTCAACCTGTACCTGTCAAATCCCCGGCTTAGCAGCTCAGAGCTTTTACAGACCCGGAAGCGTTTTAAAAAGCACGATTGAAAACGTTGCTTCACCTGCCTCTTCTTCCCTCCGCAGGAGAATCCGGGCCGGGACGGAACTCACCTGGGATTACAACTACGAAGTCGGAAGTGTGGAAGGCAAGAAACTGTTGTGTTGTTGCGGTGCCATCGAATGCCGAGGCCGCTTGTTGTAAAAAAAGTTGTGTTATCCCCCCCCCCCCCCCCCCACCGGGGAAGAGACCTCCCTTTTCCAAAAACCGACACCGCCCCTCCACCCCCGGGGGGGGGGGGGGGGCGCCCCCCCCCCCCCCCCCCCCCCATCCTTCGCCCCCTCTGTGAGTTTCCGTGGTTTGCGTGTCTTCTTCGCTCCACGCGTGTGCCGAGTTGAGCACAGCGGGGGCCCTGCGGGTGAACGTTTCCATGTTGAGTGTTCCCCCCTCCCCCACGCACTCACCCCCCCCGCTGGATGTTGTAAGGCAATAAAGAATATCCAGGGGGGGGGGCACGGAGGCGACTTTTCTGTCTCTTCACCACATACAGGCAAGTGGGCCCTCT